ATAATTTAAAAAGAAATTAATAATACAGTTAATAAATCAATTTTAAGTATAATTTATTAATTACAATATCATATGTGTTAACTATAAATAAATTATACTAATGAATATGCATACCGATTTGTAGAGTTAACCTATTTCTCACGCTCTTTGTTTATATAGAGTGTATTTATGCATATGCGCACATTATCTTATTGCATGTTACGTGTACTATAGAATTATGGCGGATCTCAGTCACTGCGCAGAACGTGACGAAAATTGTCCGAGAAACGAGCACACCTTATTACTTCCACCATGCTAATTACGCCCGAATCGTTATTTTTTCGTTTTGTTTTTTTTCTTGTTTTCTTTTCAAATAAAAGATAGTACATTTACACGTACAATAAACATAAACTAACGATTCATATTCATATATAGTACTTATAGATGTGAATATTGTTTAGATGTATTTTTATTTCAGTTTATTCGTATTATAATAATATTTTTGATTTTGTAATTGTATCAATATCTGAATTTCTTGTAGATAATATAATTACTTGTCACAATTAAGTGTGTTATTTTGTATTAAATAGTTTTTATTTGAAAACAGTTCCACATAGGTTTTTCATTTTTTAAACAAAGCAAAATCTACGAATGTATGATACAATATAGGTACATTTTATTAGAAAAAATTAATAGATTGAGTCTGTGTGGAAAATTAACTTTTTTTATAATTTCTTTATATTACATATACATAACATACGTATGATTTTTCAGTTGGCGCTATTGTTTCATTATAACATTAATTTTGTAGAACTGATTTTATAAGGAACAATTTTGTATAAATCTATCTTTCAATTTCCCAGTAGTATTATAACGATTTTGTAGAAATATTTGTTATGACTCTTTAGTTTTCTGCCGTAATATTATATCGTAATATTACATAATTTCTTGTCGACAATACTTGTTGTGCGTATACTTTGCACCTGGTTTTACCTTTTTTATGTATTACATAAAATATTTGAAATAATGTCAAAAGATGAGAGATGTTCTCCGATTCAATATGATAAAATCAAAATTGTATTAATTCGGCGAGTAACCAATGTGTTTTGCAGTTGGAAAATAACGTATATTAGCAAAACGTTTCGACTGTTTATTCAGTCATCTTCTGTCGCAAGACTATGCTACACAGACAATTACAATAAATGAGTTGCAGTTGATTACATTAGTCGTGACTATTACAAAAAAGAAAAACATAAAAAAATAAAAACGCACCTATTTGAAACACTTCCGATAAATAGTAAAATTACAAAATAAATATACAAAGATTGCGGTTTGTGCCTGTCATGCTTGAAAGTTAGGCACAAACTGAGACTGTGAGACTAAACACGGTGATAAAACACAGTTGTCAATATAAACTTTACAAGTCAATATTTCAGATAGATGCGTTTTTATTCTTTTCTTTAAATAAACAGTCGAAACGTTTTGCTAATATATGTTATTTCCCAACTGCAAAACACCCTGCACATTGGTTTATACTTGCCGAATGAGTACAATTTTGATAAATATTGTATATATATTAGTACACATATTTACATATAGTTTTATTTCTCTAATATAATAAGACTAATACACATTTTAGATGCAATAAATTAATTCCTATAATAAGTATTACATAGCTGCGTTCCGTTTCACACATATGCGCGCATTTATCTATACTATACGTGACGTGTACTATAGATACATGCGCGCATATGCGTGAAACGGAACGCAGCCCATGTTTTTTCAAAATTTTAAGTAGTATTCGTAAATCTTTGTGTATGTAAGATAAGTTTAATTACGTTTCAGATACAGTTTAATTTTAGCAAATATATGTATTTATTATATTATTGATCTAAAACTTTTTTATTTTTTTACAAAGGCTTCGTTTTCATATTCACAGAACTAAACACCTATACTTGACGTGACATGCGCTATAGATTTCCACTACTGGCAGTAAATATCAGAACGTAGCCTAACAATGAAAAGCGTTAGCATATGTAACAAGCGCATTACATGCGTTGTCTCGTGGCTGTGGCCAGCTTAGTGGAAAGAAGACGGAACATACTATTGTCTGCACTCTTCAACGAGCGACAGCCGAGCGTGACGCATAGACGTATAATATATAGACTGCGCGTTTGGCTGAAAAGATGTCTTCAACGTTGAGAGAGACAACATACTTTGAATCTTAGACCATATATACTTATAGACACGGCTTCAGACAACTATCTTGAAGCAAAGATAATATCATCTACGTGACGTCACATGTGGGCAAAGCAAAGGCTGCGTTTAGCCGCATAATGGCTGAATTGTCGTCTTCTTGATACGTGACGTTGATTTGTTGGATCTCAGAAGAAGAGTCAATTACG